ATGACGGCAAAGGATTCCCATGACATCGAGTGTGGTGGCAGCCTGTAAAAATCGTCGAGGTCTTCAATTTCTAGCTAGATATTGTCATTGTTGACCTTCCCATTATCTCTCTTCTAGCAAGATGGGGCTCAGGTCGATATTCATTTCAAGATATTTGTGTAATACTGACTCTTCGAGTTGTTTGAGCCACGTATGCACTGGTGCTTCTTGATGAAACTCTCTCTGTAGGAAGACTTGTTAACGAGCCGTAGGGCTTCAATCAATAGGTCAATTTTTCCTTAATGGCGTCAGAAATGGAGTACATTGAGTTTAAGTATTCAGGAGGAGGCCCAAGGTAGTAAACCGCCGGCGGGACCTTCTATGTTAATACAAAAAAAAGCTGAAATCTGAATAACGAAATAGCTACTCACAATATTGCGAAATTTTTTTACAAACAAAGCAAAAAATAAATATGTTAACAAAACGCAGCAGTTATACCTTTATTGACACTTTTTCAATTCTGTCCTAAAACATGAATTTGCACTAGGTCTCTCATATCTTGTGATAAAGAATTTTATAATAAATTGAATAATAAACAATGCTCATTTCTTATAATCATTGCAAAATTTCGGTAATAACATGTTATTAGTCACCTCGTATCTATTTTTGGGGGGAATTATTCAACAAGGCAATAGGAAGTGTGTCGATAGTGAGGGTGCAGTTGAAAAAAAACAAATCAGACACATTTTAAACCTTTATTTGGGAGTGGGTGATACCTCAAGCTGGGGAAGGGGGCAAAAATTGTGATGTGGGGGCGTCCGACGTGAGCGACATTTATGAGTCACACTGCTTGTTTTTGCAATAATGTTAACAACCGAATTCGCACTGAACATGAATTACCCCATGATATATGTTATGCAATAAATGAGATGACTGTGTATGAATGCATAATGCAATGCTTTCAGAGCTTCGATAATAAAACACATTCGTGACTTGACCAATGTCGTGATACCGTGAAAAATTTGTTTAAAAACAGAATTGATACGTTGCTGAAATTTCAGATGTGTATCTAATATAACTCCTTGAAATGACGTATGATGGTCAAGGCATAAGTACTGAGTTCATAGAAGAGTGAGGAATGAATGCTAGTTTTTTGTTTGGTGAATGAAGAAGCATAAACAAGTTCAGGAAGGATTTTTACCAGTAAGGCGAGGGCGCATTTGAGGAAATCAGTACGTGTGCGTAACCTTCATAGTATAAACTTTTGCCGCTACCCTAGCGCCTCTACAAGAGGTGCAAAGTCTGTACTCAATGTAGTCTGGTGGCGGGGTCGATGATATTGTAGGGACAAAGAGCTCTCGTTGGAGGAGTGTGACGGCGTTAGCTGAAGATTCGTTTGACTCATTTTGATGCTCGCAAATGGTCATGTGGTTGTACCACAAGTGGTTGCATTCCTTTCAGCTGTGCCTGAACTTATGGAGCAGGAAAGGTCGCCAAAGCACGTGTCTCCATCGCGTAGCTGCGTCAATTAGCAAGCGCTTTTGGCACTTTGCTGCGGCATCCCACGCCCACACTTCTTTGGAATTCTATTTACAACACTTCCGTTTTGCTTCTGCCTCGCGACTTCTGATCACAAATTCCGCTTGATGGCGCCATCTTCACCAATGCTTCGCTGGTAGGCAACTCTGGGTTTTCTCGAAGATGAGCTCTCTTCGCTTAGGCTTCCCGTGATATCACCACCGGAATTCGGCGGTGACCCGCTACGTTGCTACCATGGTTTGAAGGTGTCCTAGGTGGCCGAGTGGCAACAAATATTTTTAACTGCATGAGCTCTCAGAAAGCGAAAGCAAGTGCACGTGCTGGGAGCATTTTTGAAGTCATCAAAGAAGTGTACACGTGGTTACAGTGGCTAGAATAGGGAAGTGTGATAAGTGGCAAGTGGCGCCTACGGAGCGTGCTGAGGCAGCTGCGAAGCAGCTGCGTGGGGGCACGCGCAGTCAGTTTATACGTTATTTGCACGTTTCTGATAGTTTCGTTGAGCGCGCTCGTCTTAGTTTTTCTTTGTGCGGTGGACTCTGACACCAATGCTTCTGTATGCACTCCCATGGCACAAAAACAAAATAATTGCTTGTCTCGGGGTGCACTAAAGGCTAAAAGTCACCTAAAAAGAAGCATGCGTTGTTCGGCGTTCCAAAATACAAAACTCTGTTAGTGCGGTGGCGAAAAGCTATGCCGCGCGCTGACAAACTACTTCATTGATTGATTTGTGGGGTTTAACGTCCCAAAACCACGATATGATTATGAGAGACGCCGTAGTGGAGGGCTCCGGAAATTTCGACCACCTGGGGTTACTTTAACGTGCACCCAAATCGGAGCACACGGGTCCTACAACATTTCCGCCTCTATCGGAAATGCAGCCGCCGCAGCTGGGATTCGAACCCGCGCCCTGCGGGTCAGCAGCCGAGTACCTTAGCCACTAGACCACCGCGGCGGGGCGACAAACTACTTCAAGAAAGCTCGACTGTGTGCGAGGTGAACTTCGACGAGAGGTACTGCACTTTGAGCACACTGTGAAGGGCGAGAAATCATCCGCATTGAAAGTAATAGGCTTGCGCAGAATTACTGTTCAGGGAGGAAGTTCATTGTAGTACCTTCATCTCTAATAAATCAGTGTAAGTAGAACCTTACGAGGCGCATAGATGTAGCACACAGTAAACACAAGAAGAAATGTTTTGCGCACTCAGGTGTCTAGATAAGATGCGAGTATGTTGTTATAGTGACTTAACGACGGCACCACTGACGTTTTAAATACGAGACCCAGCAGCGGTCAGCATAAAAATTATGCCGTACACGACTTCTTCTAATAATTATCATGTTTACATTTGGCAGTTTTGTTCGCGGCCCATTCTTATCACGCAATCACGCAACAGCAACTTTCCTACAAGTGAAGCGAAAGGGCAACAAAAGCATAATGATTGTGGTCATGTTCTTACAATACACTCATGTCATGATTAGCATGTTCCAACCAGTCATATGTCTTCGTCGTTCATTGGCGTCACGCAATACCAAATTTTTGTATTTTTGAAGCTGGCGAAACGCCTGTGAGCGCATCATGAGCGTGGTATGTAGTCATGTATTACATGACACGCATCTCATGATCACCATGTTTGCACCAGTCACATAACTTTGACATCTATTCATGCGAAGTAATACCGAATTTGGTATACTTGAAGCTAGCAAAACGGCCGCGAGGGGATCATGAGCGTGGCTGGTAGTTATGTTGTTACATGACACGCATTCCATGATTATCATGGTTGCACTAGTTACATAACTTCGTCGTCCATTAACCTGACGTAATACCACATTTCGTATATGTGAAGCAAGCAAAACGGCCGTGAGTGCTTAAAAGCGTGGCATGTAATTAGGTTGTTACATAATACGTATCTCATGATTATCATATTTGCTGCAGCAATATATCTTCAATATCCGTTTATGTGACGTAATACTGAATTTCATATACTTCAAGTTAGCGAAACGGTCGTGAGCGCTTCAATAGCGTGGCATTTAGTCATGTTGTTGCATGACATGCATGTCATGATTAACATGTTTCGACGTGTCATCTACCTTCGTCGCCCATTCGCGTCACTTAACCTCGGGCTTGGTATGCATGAAGCTAGCAAAATGGCCTCGAGCGCATCATGAGCGTGGCATGTAGTCATGTTGTTACATGATATGCAATTCACGATTATCATGCTTGAACCAGTCACGTATCTTCGTCATGCATTCACGTCACGTAATCCAAAATTTGGTGTATGTGAAGGAAGTGAAACGGCTGGCCACGAGCTCACCATGAGTGTGGCGTGTAGTCATGTAATTACATCACACGAATGTCATTATTTTCATGTTAGGGTATGTCAGTTGTTGATTGATTGATTGATTTATGGGGTTTAACGTCCCAAAACCACCATATGATTATGAGAGACGCCGTGGTGGAGGGCTCCGGAAATTTTGACCACCTGGGGTTCTTTAACGTGCACCCAAATCTGAGCACACGGGCCTACAACATTTCCGCCTCCATGGGAAATGCAGCCGCCGCAGCCGGGATTTCATCCCGCCCCCTGCGGGTCAGCAGCCGAGTACTTGAGCCACTAGACCACCGCGGCGGGGCGGTATGTCAGTTGTGTTCGCCATGAAGTCATGTTATATACCATTCTAGTTTTGCAGGATGTCATCTGAAGGAAACCAGCACAACAGCAGCAAGTCCATGAAATGTAAATAATGACACTCATGACATGCGTGTCACGATTTTCTTGTAATGACTGCTAGTCCCCTTTGCTCTTCATGCAGTTTTGTTATGCGATATATATTTAGGTATCGATCTCATTATTGAAATGGCCAGGGGAGGTCGACGTCGTAGGTGGATAGATGGATAGATAGATAGATAGGTAGATAGATAGATAGATACGCGCAATGTCGCCGAAGTTGGCAAAGAAACGCTTCGCATTTAACAATCTGTATTAGCCCTAGCATAACAATTGCGTGTAGCAAATTAGTCTTGTGGCAAATTAGGCCAATTTAGCTGGTGAGACCTAAAGCAACACACCAAACTGCACATCAACTATTTACTTTGACGACACCCTCAATGACGACGCTGTTTCGCTCGCTTTGGGGGAGAATAATTACCGAGCATCGACAAGCGGCCACGAAGCGAAGTGTCTAAACAAACGGTTGATAACGGCAAAGTTATGCTGATTGTTGCGCTCCGCGTTGATTATCAGTGGCCGCGTTTTCAAAGTTTCGAAGTGCTATAGGCAATTTCGAGGAAGGGCTTAAATTCACCCAGATAACTGGATCGGCTATCACCGTTGGAGAAAAAGGTAATTCTGTTGCTTTTTATAAATACTGCCGTAATAATGATTGTACTCATCTGAAGATGTCTTCTGCCACACGAAAGACAACGCTGCAAGGAGCATGCAGATTTTTGTAGCTGTGATTATTAAAGAACACTTGCCTGAGTTGGACCAGGTGTGATAGTTCCGGGATTGTCTTCTGACCCTGGCTGAAACATGGAGATAATCAAAATCAACAGTGAACCCTGGGCGTGAGTGCATAAAACTATGGGTTTGATTAGCAGTCTTTTCTCTAATTAAACAGCTGTAATTGTCTGTTTCACAACACTGTATTATCGTTGCGTTGTATGGACTGCTCGAACGTAGTTTTCCTACTGATATACCTAAATTAGCTAAATTATTTTTCTTTATTGATGTTTATTGCGTGATTCCAATCAAACACTTTATTTCATAATTAGTACAAATTGATAGAAAGATTTAGATGGCATATGAGTGGAGCACAAGACCTCGCTGCTGAATCACTTCAAAATTTGAATTTTTCTGATGCGTATCAGCAAAACTCGTTAGCTTTCCGTGGAGTTTTACGTGTATTCATTGCCGATAATAGGTGGCTACATTGTATTGTGGTTTAGAATACAAGAATAGAAACACTGAAGCCTAAAATCATTGCCCTCAGAGGAAGTGCAAAGAACTTCCAGTGAAATTCATTTTCGTTGCTTTCAGTTTATTATATATTGTTAAGAGGCAAAGTTTTTGTGAGAGAGTTATTAAAATATGCGGTGAGGGTGCCCGTTGGAACTTTTTTAGCGTCAGCAGTGATTTATACTGTGTCGTTGCCCCTATAAAAGTGATATAGTCACTTATTTTACATGGGGCCTTGATTTATTATCCCAATTTTTCGAAAGTCCTATGACAACTGCTTAATTTCTATTTTTCTAAAAAGCATGAGGTGAAACACATCGTATCCGCAACAAATGTGACTAATGGGGCTAGTTAGCGTGAATTCATGTTGTATTTTGCACATGGTTACCCTTACCGAAGAAACAAGAATTGACAAAAACGCTTCAATTAGAATGTGACGTGTTTCTTGAGCGTGACAAGTTTCTACAGCATGCAAATTTACATGTTAGTATGTTAGATTGTTATAAACACAAAAAAACACAAAAGGGAAACACGACAACGAAGGTGTTTTGAAGTTTCAGCTTCTCCCTTTTGTGTCGTCTTGATTACCTAAACTCCTCACACTTGCTGTTCATGTGTAATTCAATTTTCAATGTTTGCGCACTACGTAATTCTAATGTCGAAAAACTGAAGAGGTATAGATCAAAGAACCAGCGTCACAAATATCGTGTACCGAAAGTGGCACCCATTGATATTGTCGATGGGCTTTGCCTATTATTGCCGCTCGTCGAGCCATAAGTTTATTAGGCATTAGTGAATAGTACTCAAGCACTGCATTATGTAAATGTAAGTGGTATAGGGTCAACTGAAATGTGTTTTTCTGTGTCTCGTTCTGGTTGCACGTTATAATATCTAATTCAGCATGTTAGCGTTAGCGTTGTTTGAGCCATCACTTTTCCTCTTCAGATGCCTATTGCCATGAGTGTTGGAGCTTGACATCCTAAATACAGCCGTAGGATAACTGTGGGTGCCATAAAAAAGAACCCCTTAAATGGTTTTTCTGTGTGTGCTTAACATGCGTCTAAATATTTCGTAACAAACACCTATCATTTTGCTGCCATTGAACGGCCTCTACTACCGGAACTCAAGCCCGCTCCCTTGAGATTAGCATGCCAGCACCAAAACCTCTTAACCACCTGTGAAGCTTCCTCTACTATGCCATGAACGCACTGTAATACTAGTGGTGCGTATGAAAAAATCCTCAGAAATATATTGAGTCCTACATGAAGAATTTGCCCTTACAGACTGCCATTCATGGAAACGAGAACGTGGCTCTGCGAAAATTCAACAATACCATAGTATCCATTGGCACCGCTTAGCAAAAGGCAGCGATATATTTCTTATAGTCACGCCATTGTGCTAACAATATGCAGTTGCAATTAAACTGAAAGATTTACGAACTGCGAAGCCGTTATGTGCTGTCTATTGGCCGTCCAGCAAGTGTATGCTTGCCTTCCATACGTGCAGCCTGTTGGCACCCAAGATGGAAAATTAGCATTTAAAGGCGATGCAGTGGTATTCTCTCCGTGCACAAGCTTTTAATTTCTTCCCTATCTTTTAGGGGTCTCAAGCCTAACTCTAACTCAGTTAGCAGGCCCCAATGACACAATTTAGTCCAGTTAAGACCTAAAGCAAGGGAAAGGGTAGTTTTTGCAATTTCTGCGCCTGATGCTATTTAAAAGAAAACCTGTACCACTTTTCTAGTGTGAGTAGTTTCTGAAGAAGGTCTTGGGCCAGGACTTTTACTGCATGTTAATGATGATCTTCAATACGACTGCAACCTGCAGGTTGATTCTCAAAGACAACCTTTTTCCAAACTATTATATCAACAAGTGATTGCCGAAGGGTGTGCCTCACGAAAGGAATGCTTTAGATAAGTCATGCATGTGTGGCTAAGGAACATACTTACCGAGACAATATAAAAGTATAGAGCGAACATGCGCAAAATGCGGGCTGTAAGCGAGAAGTTTAGGGCCACGTGACTCAGTGTGTTACAGGTGCCTGCTACCTCATTAGCTGAAAAACGCTACGAAGGCTTTGTATAAAACCGATTCTTTCAACATCAGATATACCCCACAGATCATTAGAATAGAGCACCTACCTCTCCTGGACGAGGCGCCAACATCCTCAATGTGTCACGGAGCAACGGCTGCAAAGACCCCGGCACCCACAATCAGGACTGAAGAATATATACAAGCAGATGATTTCAACGCAGTGTGTGTCGAAAGACATCTTTTTCGAAAAAGAACTAGCAACTCCAAAGTGTACAAAAACTGCAGCGAAATGGAATAACCAAATAATTTTCACACTGACATGGACAACGAATCTATAAAGTGTAGTGACCGTTTTTTAAGCCATAATGTAGTTTTATTGCGTAAATAAAATTATTAGGCTGGAATAAATAATGAATACCACTTTGTACATATTGTTTCTGCGCCTGTATACATTTGTTTGGAGTGCAGTTTCTTGTAATGTTCTTTTTTGTCTTGCACAACGTCACTTTTTTCGTTGTATACTTGTAGTCTAAAGTTCAAACAACAGCGGAATTGCTTTAGCTTAGGTGGTTAATGTGGCCGTCTTCGCTTATATGAAACCTTCTTTAGCACAGAAACAGAAGAGTAGAACGGCAGCCTGTCACAAACGATGAAAGAAGCTCGAAACTCTTATGCAAAAACTGAAGCGCCAAGCTGTCTGAAACTTCCACAGTAAAAGGGCGGGCGTTTTTTCACTCGCACTAAGCTCATGCGATGGCTACGTGAATTGTCTCCGTGGGATGGTGGGGCTGAAAAGCCACGGCCTGGATGAGAAAGAGCAGGAAGAATTCTCGCAGAAGATGAGCATTTCGCCTTGAGTTTTAGGAGCATGGCTGTTAAAACGTATAGAGCTCGTAATGACACCACGATCCAAGTTATGACGGCGGTAAGAGGAATTTGTCTTTCTTCAACACTTAGCCGTGCGTGGCTGAGCCGTGTTCAGAGAAAACGGGATCTTTTAAGTTAAGGCACTGCCAGGTGATTTAACCTGCACCCGGTGGAGGCAACACATCCCTATGGCCTCGGCTTCAGGTTGAGGGCACCCCTAGGCTGAACCACCAAAGTCCAATCAGCCGTCTCGCCTTTTCCCGTCTCCATCCCTCCCTTCACTTTTGTTTTTGGCTATTTCGATCTTTTTGTCATTTATTCACTTCGTCTTACTTCCATGTTTCTGGGTGGCAAGGATTAACGTACTGTATAACGTTGACTTTGTGTAGATATATTAGGTCGTAGTGTGCCTGTCAGCATGGCGCTACAATATTCCCGCGTTTTGTGGCGCCCCATTGTTAGGCTCCATGGTGGGCTGCTGGCATGGCTGCCAAATTAATAGCATGATTGATGGGGCCACCTAACCCTTTCCAAACTGACCCCCCTCGAAGAGGTGGTGCACCGACGCAATTTTCGAACTACTGCCCATCTAAGATGTACAAGTTTCGCAATTGTCACATCATTCAGTGTCAATGTGAAGGAAAGAAAGCTAGAGATATATTACCCTTGCCTTGTGTCAAAGTGTATATTAGAAAAACCAGGCGCGGGCTACAAAGCCAATGGAACTTACCCGCGGTAACCTGCTCCTTGAATTGAAATATCATCTACAATATCAGACACTGCGCAACTTGGCAGCATTCGGTGATCAGCTCATCACAATCACTTCACACCACACACTGAACATCGTGAAACAGTGTCGTATGAGATGACGATCTAAAGGAACATTACGCTGACGATGAATTTATATCACAAGTTCACTGAACCAACATATACGGGAAAATAATTTGTAATATATTCCCTGTACTTTACTCAACATGGTTGTCTGGTATATCTCAATTTTGTTGTAACAAATAAATAAAGGACCTTTAAATTTGCGCTTCTCTTTCTACATACTCTGTGGTAGTATCCTAAGTTACGCAATGATCTATGCTCCCCCTTTCTCCTGTACCTCATTGTCACAGCTACTTTCCTTTTCTCTTCCTTTGAATAGTTTTTTAAGCATAGATATAGCTTACACGGTCCCTTCCTCAAACTGACCCTTTTCGCGCCCTTTGGCTATTTCATAATGCATATTACTTTGATATACGTAAATATACATGCTTGAAGCCGTTGGACGACATACTATTAGGCGGATGAACGCGCAGAATAGCCTGCAGCCTTGTTTGAATAACTGTTAATGCAGTTCTCGTCGTGGGGATCCAAACGTGCGAACGTCAAAATATATACTCGATTAGTTGAACGCCAACGCGTCATTGTTGCTTCTTTGAACTCCTAATGCGAAAGAATATGTTTTCTTTACATTCATTTCGCATGGCGTAGTCTTTAGAACAGTTGTCACACGGATTTTCGCAAATACTCTTATGGCTGACTTACTTGCAGCTATTGCTGCGGCGGCTGCATTTCTGATGGAGGCGGAAATGTAGTAGGCCCGTGTGCTCAGATTTGGGTTCTTTTTAAAGAACCCCAAGTAGTCAAAATTTCTGGAGACCTTTACCACGGACTCTCTTACAATCGTATGGTGGTTTCGGTATGTTAAACCTCACATATCAATCACTAAGGGCCTTCTGTCGTGGCGAACATATAGTTGCATTCCCATGCGTCATTGTTGCTTTTTTGAACTCATAACCCAGAAGATATCGATTTGTGCACATTCATTTTATACTGTGTACTCTTTAGGACAGTTGTCATGCAGATATCCACCCAAATTCTTACCGCTATGACTTGCCTGCTGCAGTAAGCGAAGTGTGTTACCTTAAGAGATATGTAAGTTAAATTTAGGTCATCATCTCTTGTAGTTAGTTATGTTCTTTCGCCACGAAAGCCATCAACGTTCGTTTGAACAGCTTTTTTGTTCTTATCACTTCATATTGTGTGGTATACATATTCGTAATTACGAAGATAACCATAATTAGTTCTCACTTTCACTACCTTCATGTCGTCTCGTACTCGGTTCTCGTTTTTACCCGGGTATTATTACTGTCATGAAGCTTTGACGATGAAGGGTGTGATCCTGAAGCCGGTAAAGATGAAACTTCCTAGTTTGCTTTACTTAGCCTTAGCAAAAGTAAAAGACAAACAACATGCAATACTGCTTTATAAGAATAACGCCAAGCTCTGAAGATGGTTGGCGCTTCATTTTCTTTAGGATGTTTCAACTTTTCTATACGCTCGTTTATCCTTCACGCAATCGCTGCGACTTGCGTAAGCTCTATTGTAAACACAGTTATTGTTGCTTTGCAGGCAACCTCAACAGAATTTTTTGGAGCAATCGCTAAGTATTCAAACCATGCGAGGCAGCGTGCGATGAGATGCGCCAACGGTTTTTGGTGGACTAAGCTAGATCTCAATAAAGTAGCAGACATTTGGCATGTGTGGCATAGGAAACAACATACCTAAACATGACAAAACCTATTGCATTCCATTAGAATAAACCACTTACCGAATTTGATCTACCCGAATTAGGACTTGGCGGCCATTGAGGCTGGAAAGAGTGTACCGCAATTATAAAAAAAAACTGCACACATGCAAAAAATTAACCATATATTATCATTAGTCTCATTAGATGTGTACAGAAAGACGACAAAAACAACAAATGCAAGAATAACCAAGCAGTAAAGGACGCAGAACTGTGTACAATTCTGTTTGCTTAGTAGACTGCTCTTTTTGAATGGATTGGGAATTTTTCGTACGACGTATACCTTTTACGTAAAGTGATTACGAAGATTTACAATACGCCATCTTGCACGTGTTGTAGGCTTGTTGTTTTCTTACCACTGGTATATGTCTCAGGTGTCTTGTCAAGTCAAACTTTTCTGGATTTCATGTTAGATTGTGAAGTTGCGCGTAATACCATGCTTCCTGTCACAACCCGACATGCACTGCGGATGCATGCTGAGTTTTTTTTATCCCAGTAGCTTCTTGCAGAAGCAAGCAGGCTTCCTCGAGGATCTGCAGTGGCTGTGTATAAAAATTTCCTCGACTTACTTTACATGTTTCTTTAAGCACAGATCTATGCTGTATTTATTTATCATTAATTTGTGACAACCTGTGGCGTTTTACAGTGTACAGAAAGAGTCACGCGCACCGTAAATGTTCGCCACTGCCACCACTACTGTGGTACGTAAGAACTATTGCGCGAAATTACAAAAAACTACGCACTGAAAAAATACAATGTGCACAATACCACACGAGGTCTCCAGCGTGCCACGCGAGTATTCTACCAGAGAGCCACACCGGTGCTTGAAACTCCTTTGGTAATTAGCCTTATGAAGGCTTGGTGTCACTAATGGAATTGTGGTAGTATGCGTAATAAAGTGTTTTAGGAAAGCAGAGAAATATCCAGACCTCACACAATGCAAACAGCTTAACGATTAAACAATTAGAAAAGCTCCGGTCATAATTCGTCATCGTAGTGAGTTACAGCAATAAAAACTTTCACAATTTTTTCTGTAAGTGAGTAGCTGGTACCGCGCTTTATCGATTATTAACAAAGCATGTCATAGTGAGTGCCTCTCTCCTATATAAAGGTTATAACTTATGGCGAAGTGGATTAACAGTTACCTGGAACTAGTTACATAAAAATGCTTTCAGTAACTAAAGACACTGAAAGGCCGCTCTTTCAGTTTTCGCTGTCACTAGGCTGCGCATTCCGCGCCGGCCTAGTGTTTGTTTGTTTGTGCCGTGCGTTTTACGCATCTAGCCAGATTTATAAGCCTTCAGCGAAAGGGCATAGCTTTTTTTAGGAAGTGGTATCATCATGGACACCTATAGAAGAACAACGAAAGGAGAGAAAGGGGCGCTCGTCTCCAAACAGATAATCGCGCAAGTATTGCACAGTGAACATACAGTCCTCTGTGTAGATGACTGGACAAATTTGTTATTTATACTGTCATAACACTGCTCAAAAATGCATGGCAAAAAAAAAGAAATTACATGGCGAAAGCGTTCACTGTGTGTCATCGCTTTTCTTTGTGTCTGCTTTGTTGATTATTCTCGATTATTCAATCGAGAAAGAAGAAAATGAAGTGTTGGCAGAAGAGCAAAGTTTTTTTAATAGCTATGCACTACATACAAGTACAACCATACTCAAGGTAATCTGTAATTTTTGAATAATATAACCCGCAGTATTCTAAAATTTATATAATGTGATGAAACCAATTATTTTTGGCCGATTCCCTAAAAAGGGTATTTAGCACAATTACTCGGGGAACAAGCACAGAGGGTTTGCGCTGGGAAAGAAGGAAGAAAGAAAAGGAACTCTATTTGGTCACGCGAAGCGCGACTGTGCTCCCAAACAAAACTACCCGACGCTTGAAAATTCCCCATGATTTGTACAAGCCAAAAGTTTGCTACATCTTACTTTAATGGCCGAGTCTTTTTATCTTTTTTCAGGTACCAAACCTTGGTTTTGCTCCACACTGCCGGCGAAGACACCCTTATTCAACATTTTATGGCGCCTGAAGCTCGGGACTACGCAGTCTAAGCGACCCGACGGAAGGACTTCACCCGCAACAAAGATAGAGGGCATCCCAGGCCGGCTGAAAACTTAGCGAGCTCTGCACACGTGTATACAAAATGAAGCACGGGAACTTATCGATATCAACTCTTTTACGTCGTTGAATCTTTGTGTGGAGCTCGAAAGGCTAAAGACGTGCAAAAATGACCAGTGGTTGCTCAACTTTGAGCTTGAAGCACACCTCACCGATGAATAAATTGAGGAAGATTTTGCTTCCCCAGCAGAGTATGATTACAACGCTGCTGGTATCGCCATTGCAGGAAGCGGTGTCTTCGGCTGTCAGATAAGATGAGCACTCATCGGCTCTCTCCTTCCTAAACTTAAGATGCTGATTTGAATAGAAGCCCAACGCTATGGCGAGCTTTGTGGGGCATATTCAAATTTCATGGACGGGCTTCATGAAAACCTGATGTTGAACATGAACTTGTTCCACTATTTTGAAGAACCTTGTAATTGGACAGGGATCGAAGGCCACCCACGTCATTCAAGCCACGAAGGGGTCCTAGAAAGACGCCAGCACTCTTCTAAGAAACATATATTTATGTGGGAACAAGAAGATAATCGAACAGCTATACTGGACGTGTGGACAGTGTTCATGTGCACACTGTCCACATGAACATCGGAGGATTTATTGCGCTTGGTAGCTCAAAGCTTTCACGTATAGGTGGGGTGCTTCAAGACAATGCTTCCAAACAAATGTCTAGACGCTTGTCTTCGGAAAGGGTTGTGCAGGATCTACTTCATAGCGTAGAGGTGGAGGTGGAGAGTTAGAATGAGGCAGCCATCAGTAGCTTGTTGTGTCTATCGCAATAAATGCAGCTGATGGAGAGCGCGGAACCAGTTCCCGACCCGTTAACTAACGCAGCCAATTGTTTTCACGAAGGTTAATGCCGAAGACCCGCGTACGGAAAGAAAGGAGCCTCACGGTTCACGGGCAGAGCCGTCAAATTTGCCCCAGTTTAGGACGAAAAAGGGGAAAGCTTAACCAGAAGCGCCTCTATCAAGAGTCACGTCAAGCGTTGTCGTCTGAGATTGTTGGCATGGACGTGTGCCTTTGAGAATGCCGCAGGGACGCGATCACTGGGCTGACCATGGTTGCGGCACAGAGACGAGTTTATGCTCTCCCGCTATACGTCATTACCGAGTGTTGTTAGGATGGCGGGGTGCCTTGCCGTCGTATGCACACCTGGTCAGTGCACAGGACCTGACGATGTACTCACCGCGCTTAAGGAGGCTTCTACGAAGCAACGTTTAATGAGAGAGATGGCGGAGCTCAAGCGTGAGAACGGCTTCCACTGGAGGTCAGCCGTCGAAGGCCAGCGTGGTCTGACATAGGAGAGAGTGTGACACGCTTAGAAGCTATCCCATCTGGTGTTATATTTCGTGATGTGCTTTTTACCAAAGCAGTGCCTGTTATGAGAGTTTTTTGTGATTGGTTGTGTCGATGTGAGCCTACACGTGTGATTGGCTTGTGTGGAGACCCTTTGTTCAACCGAGGGTTGAAAAAAAGGCGTTTGAATGTGAAATGAGGAGCGGAGGTTCGGGCTTGCACCCGAGCAGTTGCCTGAGCGCTGCATTAAAGCGGCTCTTAACTCGACTACGGTGCCTCCTTCGCCCTGCCCCAGTGCACTCGAGTCATCAAGCGGCGCCCATTCCGAACCTTAAACACTTTCACTCTTTAGCTAGTGTAGAAGCTTGTCGAGGAGAAAGAAATTACTTGGCGCAGTTGGCAGGACACCTTAAGGCCCTGTGCATGCAAGGGCGTGGTGCTCCGTCATTCTAAAAATACTCGGTAATATGACGTATAATGGGGGAGGATAAGCTCGTCTCCGTGCCGCAACCATGGTTAGCCTTCATTCTCAATGGTACACGTGCAAGCCAACACTGACTTAAACTCAGACGACCGTGCTTCGCGTGATTCTTGCAAGACGCACTTCCTGTTAAGCTTTCCTCTTTTTCGTTAAACTGGGGCGACTTTGACGGCTTTGTCCTTGAACCGTGTGAATGGTGGAGTCTCCTTCCTTTTCCGTGCGCGGGTCTTCCGCGTTCGCCTTCGCAAACCAATCGCCTTCGCTAGTTCTTGGGTCGGGAACTGGCTCCGCACTCTGCATCAGCCGCAATATTGCGCTACACAGAACATGTCACTGATGCTTGCCCCTACCAACTTGGAGGCTCCCGAGACAAGTGCCTTTTTGTACGGTTATAATCTTGGTGTACGAAATCACCGACCAAGCATGGTTCACAACGCTCTATTAACGGCATCTGCTTTTAATTAGCCTCTTGACAGTCCGTGCATGTAGCACAGTTATTTCTTTCCCATATTTCCGTACCAGATAATCACCTAGGAAACGCTGGATGTGCTAAATACGCAGTCAAATGGAATCGCTCTATACTTCAACCACTTTGTTCGAATTGTAAAAAAAGGCACATAACCATTGTGTGCAACCCCAAATGAATTAAGAAGCAGGGCTTGATACCGATCAAGGAGTCCTAGTTTACCAGTCAAACAGACAAGTATTTACCGCAAAATACAGAGAACATCGGTTTCCTGCAAGCATTCTGAGCGTGGTTGATAATACAACGTGTGTTCAGCTTCATGCAATCCAACGAACATGCACTGAATGTAGTGGTATTTAGAGGAGCTAGTTATCATCAGAAAGAAGACAGGGCTTTGTCAAGACGATGATGATGATCAAAACCACTAATTTTAAAGTTAATATAAAAGCCTTAGAGTTCTGTTTATCTGTAAGCAGCTCACACAATTTCCACTGGAAATTCGTCTATGAGTATGACACCCGAATCAAAGCCGACTAAAACAAGTAAATATCAGCGACTTTGGAAAAAAACTGTGATGCACAGTTTTATTAAAACAAGTCTTAGCGAGCGCATCCTAATTTTTACACCCTTGAAGTTCTGATAGTATCGCGTTAGATTTGCCGCACGAACACGGTGGCGCGAAAGATAGA